CTGCCGAACCGAGTTGCCGGTGGAGCGAAGCGGAGCTGGCAACTTGGTTTGGCGGAAGAGCGGGCCCAGCTTGTTTTTAAATCCAATTATTGAGCTAGAAGGCTCATCTTCGAACTCGACCTCTCTTTTCATGGTACAAAACGACTCTGAAAATCCCAGGTCGCTCATTCAATTCGTTCTCGAGTTATCGTGCGGACAGACAGACAGACAGACAGACACACACACACACACACACACACACACACACACACACTCTGACAGACAGAAAAAGCTTTTTCGGACCAGACGGAGTAATAGGCTTCGCTAATCGCTCAGCCAATAAACTTGAGTTTGAGAACCAATGCAAAGTGAAAACTCCCACCCATATTCTTAGTGGGGTCTGTCAGGAGGCTGAAGAAAAATTACAGATCCTTCTTTTTGAAAAGATAATGTAAACCACTATTATTATTGAAACACTATAAAAATATATAACAGAATTGTATGTGGACAAACAAGACAAAGATCACAATAAAGTATTAAAATCAATAAAATAAATCACCAGTTGTCATCCGTCTGTTCCTTAAGCAACCCCTTGCCTTCCAAACACACACATGGTGGGAGTGGTGTAAATCCATTTAGTAGAAGCACTCCAGCTGCCTTCAGTTCTTTTACCTCTTTGTCTATGTAGGACTGCTAGCTGCACTTCTTGTAAGCATCTGCCAACGTACGTTGAAGCCTTTGTTCAATGTAAGAGCCAGTAGTCGTGTCAGGTTCTTCTGAGTTTGATGAGTCTGCAGCAAAATAAGTACAATTTTACTCATCATAGGGCTCCATGTATTCATCATCATAAGAGTCCGAAAAATCATCTGCGTGGAAAAAAATAATTAATTAGCTACTTGTCCGTTTCCATAGAGAAGAAAATTTAACAAGAATCCAGTGGAAGTAAGTCTAATTGTTACTTTGTATTAATACAACTATTTAAAAAATATGTGGGAAGTTTGACAAATGATATGCCCTCCAAATATTTTAGAAGTTACGGAAAGGTTTTATCATTATCATAGCTTCTGAAATCATGCGCGTTAAGTGATAATTGGGACAAATGACTCAAGTATGTAAAGTGTCGTTCCTTTACAAACCAAAAGTTTCTGTAACTTTTTTTTTGTATGATTTGTTTAAAAAAAAAGAACGTACCTACATAATTATTACCTAGTTTTCATTACCTGAATCGTTTTGGCTCATAAAAATAACCAGAAACAACATGTTTGAAACTAGGGGCTTAACTGTGATGTAAGGCCTTAAGTAGTCAACTTTGTGAATCTTGAGGAATTGAGAGCACTTGGAGAGTGTCAGTGGAACTTCTAGCTTCCAAAATTTGCCTGTCATCCTGTATAGTACGTTGTAATACCCTATAATACTAGCTGTAATGCCGTTATATTAATATAATAATATTAATATATAACATCCTGTAATAGACTATAATACTCATAATACTCTATCTAATACCTATAATACCTATAATATTCTATAATACTTTTATAATACCTATAATATATAGTACTGGGTACACGGCTCAGGCGAGTCGGCGACCCCTCGACACGGGTGATATCAGGTAACGGAGTAACTTTACTAGTCTCACAACCAAGTTTAAATTAGTAGCCCAGCCGAAAATTCCGGTTACGGTTACGGATACGGTTACGGTTACGATTACGGTTACGATTACGAGTACACTCGTAAATTGGACCAATTTACGGTTACGGTTACGGTTTTATTCCGGTTACGGCTAGTGTACGGTTACGGTTTCATTCCGGTTACGGCTAGTGTACGGTTACGGTGTCATTCCGATTCCGGCTACGGTTTGTCCTAGTACGGTTACAGGTACGGTTATGGTTCGGCCGCACGGCTTACTGATGAAGTACGTTGACGGCACTGGTCCTTGCACTATGGACAGGTTCTGAACAGACCTCAGCCGAGGCGGCTCGGGACTGCCGGTCCTCTAATTCAGATAGTGTTTAGAGAAAGAAAGGTGCGTAGAGAGATGACACAGTGAACGCGGCCATGCATGAGCATCTCACTCGCACCTCTATCACTCTCTGGACACGATCGGGATTAGAGGACAGGTAGTCAGACTGCTGCTCCGCTCGAAGTCTGTCTCACCTGCAGAAGTTTTACACCAGCACCATCACGGTGCTACATCAGCCCGTGGTCCCCCCTGGAATCGCTCAGAAAGTTACATTTTTCTCAGATTTGTTCAGCAAGTTATAGGAGCTTGGCGCCTGCAAGACTCAGGGTAGGCCACCCGGCAGTACACGCATGCACGGCAGGCAAGATATTGCCTAGTCGCCAGGCGCTAGAAGAGCTTGCGTATGCTGACGAACCTGAAAGTTTCGTAACAACGAATGCCGGACGTACTTTTTAGATGATCCTATATCTGAACCACAATCGTACACATAATGACACTTCAAAGACAGCACGAAAAGAAAATGCTTCAAGTAAAACCACAAAAAAAAAACAGGTGAGTTAGCATCAGTAACTAAAGATGAATAACATTAGTTAATTAATAAGTGCCAAGTCTCCACCATTAATGACAACTTAGGAATCCTAGTAACAGTGAAGGGTGCAAATAGAACAAAGTATAAATGCGTCATTATTTTAATAATGCAAACTAAAAACAACTTTGATTCAAAACGCAATGAAAGTTTTAAAATGCCATAGAGAACAAAAAAAGAATTGAGGTACTGTTAAGAACCATTACAAAAATGTCAAATTGGTAAAAAAAAAAATACCATAGAAAACAAAAAAGAATTGGGGACTGTTAGAACCATTACAAAATGTCAAATTGGTAAACTAATTAAATTATGCACTCTTGGGTTTTTTAGCTGGGCGGCCCGAATCTTGCTCTTGATTCATAAGCTAACATCAATAATAACTTAGAAGGGATTTGGCATAACTTGCATGTATTCTACAAACTGCGGCACACACAGCCAAAGATGTTCAGCGTATGAAAAGAATACTTCGTTTGTTGAGGTTTGATTACGAAGTACACAGAAAAGGTACCTGACAAAAAGACGGCCTAAAGCGAGCCGTCACTCCAACGGGCCGAAGGCCCGTTTTC